AAAACTGATAACATTTTCAATCAAAAGAATGTTTGAAAATCACAAGCGCAACTAATTTAATAGCATAGTGGGAACGAGTAAATTATTTTTCAGGCGAGAATGCAGAAATAGAAAATTAATTTGTTCTATTGTTTAAAATTTTAACCTCAGTAGATGTTTAAAATACAATTTTAAACTCAAGTTTAAAATATTAAAAAGCCTACTCTATACTCAGCGCACGTTATGAATATGTTCAGTTCACCATTTATAACCGGCTTTTTTCCCAAGTTAACTGTTTATGCTCTCAACGTTCATAGAGTTATTTGTATGAGACTTAAATTTTGTGATCCTTTAAATTTATACTACAAGTTTTGAAATTTATTCCATCAAAATGAAAACTTGATAAACCAAACTAACATTTTAATTTTCAAAATTAAATAACCTAACCATACATAAAATAATTTAGTATTGTTCTGTAGAAAATGAAATTTTAATTCTACTTTATAATACAAACACTAAATAAGAAAAGAATATCATATACTAAGTATTTTGTTTGACACGTTAAACCCCGTCGTTGACACAAGTGAAAAGGCATCCGTGGTTGACATAGAGTAACCTATTTTGTATTGTCTTTTTTGGTGGCTATAGCTGAAAAAACTTGAAATTCCTATCGGCCATTTATTACCGTATTGACTATTGCGTAAAATGTACTAATTTTATAATTGCCAATTGGCGACAGCCGCCACAGGTCAAATCGCGTGGGCCACTGGCGTGCACATGCCAATTCGATGTCGGCATCCAACGTGTTAACAACGACCAATTTTTATTTCAAAACTGATTGAATTTTTAAAACATTTGAGACACAATTCTAACATTACATGCTTCCCAATAATTGTACATAACTATATCAGGCATCAGCTATTATTTTTTTGAATGGGAACCTTTATTTTTAATTTTTTTATAAAATGTTGATGTACCCAGTTTTATTAGCCAGAGTAGTGAGTCACATTTGTGTAGATGGTTTACAATAATTTACCTACACCCATATTTTGATATTAGTTTCTATTCACTTCAACTTGATGTAGTCATGTAGAACAGTAGATTTGGTTATTAATGGTACTATACTCTTTTTCACGAGAGAACGGTACCGTTTCGCGCATGTAAAATGATTCGATTGGTGCGTGGACGACCACGTGATCACGCTTACAACTGATAGTTTGGTCGGCCGCAGGTACCTTTCTCTCGTGGAAAAGAGTATAAATTGAATCTTAATGCTTGAAAACTAGACCACTATAAAAGGATAGTCATTTTCATACAAATAACCAAATTCTTTTGATAGCGATAATAATATAATTTATATAAATTATACAAATAAAATTGATAGATTTGATTTTTTTTAAAATCACAATTAGGTACACCTTGATTTTCTAAAAATTGTTGATGTATCTAGCCTACATAGCTTTGATAGGCATAGTAGCAAATTATATTCGTGTAGATAGTTAATATTTACCTTTATCCACTTAGTTATTAGTTTCTATTCACTTCAACTTGATGTAGAACAATAGAATTGGTTATTACTTATTTGTATGCACTAAATCGAATCGCAATGCTTGAAAGAACTAGACCCCCGATAAAAGGTTAGAACTTTTTTTAAATTTTAGAATTTTTTTTAAATTTTTAATGTAATAATTGTTATCAGTTATAAATAATAAAAATAAAATTGTATAGCGATAATAATACAATTTATAATTATTACTTTATTAGGCAGTGTTATTAATGTTGTTGAAACCTTAAGCATAGAGAGGGTACCTAAAGGTATATTATAAATTGATTAAGGGGATAATATTAGTAATATGGGACAATTTTAATATTAACTAAAAAACGTATGTTTACCAAACATAGATTCCTAGTTGAAAACATAATAAGCTAATATATTTAATTTAAAAATAGGGAGGCTGTATTTAATAATAATTATTTCATTGGGGAAAGATTGTATCATATTATGAATGTAGATGATAGTATAGTGTTAATTACCTTATTTTCTTAATTGATATAATTTATTATCTAAGTCGTCTTATCAAGCGTTGTGTATCCTGAGCAAAAATGGTGATGGCTAAATGCCCAATTTGGCAAGTGTCCAAATAAAATTAACTAGGATTTCTTAATGTTTGCTTTCTCACAGACTGCAGAAGTGTTGTTGTAGTAGTAGTATTGTAGCTGTAATCCTAGTAGTAGCAGTACTGCAGTAGTAGTAGTAGCAGGTATCTGTCGACCGTGAAGCAGCGTATACAACGACAAGGGATACGTTCAATTCGTGTTTGTTTCCAAAACAACTCTTACTCGATACGAAATGATAAATCAGAAACCAACAAATACTAAACAAACTGAAACACCAAAAACAAACATAAAAATATAAAATGGTTAGAGAATGTCAGCTAACCAATTTGTCTTCTCTCTGAACAAAGCAAATTTACGTTTAGCAGAACTAAATCTGTGTTGTTACTTTTAATATTAGAGAGAATTCACCTAATATCAAACTTTAAGTTAAGAGGATGTGATATCCGCATGTGTTGTCTCCGTCTTACAAGTGCGTAACATAGCAAATTGTACGATCAGCAGAATATGTGTAACACTGTTAATTTAAAAATTAGAGTAAATTAATCTAGAAATTAAAGTCTTTTAAAATCTAAAGGTAAGATTATTACTTATCATAGGCTTTAAAGTTAAAATATAATAAAAAGCCCATGGAGGTTGCATATCTTACCATTAAATTTTATAAGAGATCAATTCACTAAAATTTATAAACTAAAGGAGCTACACGTATTCTGCTGAGCTTAAAATTTGCTATGTTACTTGTAAGACGACAACACATGCGGGTGTCATGTCCTCTTAAGAACATATTTACCTATTTACTTGTGCCGCTACATTGTTTTTTTTACGATACATTCATTTTTATGCAATTTATAAGCGCTTTTAAATTGTAATAATTTACATACTCATAACTTATGTGGAAATTAAAATATAATAAAATAGTCAATGTGACGACACAGGTAATGTCACGGGTATTGCACTTAAATTAAAGCTTGTTAATATGTGAATTCTTTTTAATAATAAAAGTAACAACATAACCTAGGGTTGGTTCTGTTTATATACTGACTGTACATTTGGTATGTTGTGCACATGCGCGTGAGTGAGAGAGTGAAAACAAACCGAAAGCTGACACAGTCTTAAATAATAATTAAAATAAGGAGTTGGGTTGGAATACTGTACAGATTTAATAATTATAGTAGGTACCTAATAATTTCAATGGAAAAAAGTTAAAATAAAAAATGAATAATTCGTCTCCTAGACACTTATTTTGATCGACCTTGAGCTCGATAAACGCGTAGGTCGTAGGAGCGAAACAAATAAACGCGGAATAAAATATATATTTTAACGAATGCAAACAAACAGCCGAGCAATGTCGCATAAACGGCACAATAATTTAAGATCAGACGTGTGCACGCAATTGTATACGTACTAAGTCCTACAATGATCGTAGGCAGAGTAATGAAACACAATATAATAATAGTATTATATTAGTATGGACGATAGTAATAATATTTTGTAACGTTATACTTACCGAGTTGGAACGAGCGCGGCCGTGGCGCATGGAAAAATTCGAAAAAAAAACCATGAAACGTCTCTGCGGACGAGATCAAAATTAAGTTAAAATAAAATCATAAGGAGAAATTAAATGAAATGACAAAAATTGAAATCAAATTCGCGTGCGTCTCATAATATAATATTGGCATTGTACAAACTGTAAAAGTATAAAATCTGAAATCATGACATAATATTTTCGTCCGATTACGACAACAACAATTTTATCATAGGTACCTACGCGTCATGACAAAATGGTAGTGCACTCACTGGCTACTGGCGTCACTGCACCATAGTAGTGCGTAGTGCGTACCAAAACAACACAACTATGATGGTCGCGGTGCGGTGTGCGGACACAGAAATTATGGCGTTGAAGGCGTTCGAATAATAATAATAATATTAACAGCCGGTAAACACGGCTAAACAGTAAACACGTTGTATTATAATTTATTTATATTATTATTATTATATATTATTATGTACGTCGCATTATTATATAGCACGGTAACACGATCCCTGTTCGGCGGGTGGTCGTCGAACGGGCCCGCGGTGTGGGGTGGGTCGATCGGTAGGCAGTGCGTCCGGAGGTCGGCGGGCCGGGGGCCCGGTGTGACCAACGCGATTTTGCGCGGCGATTGACGTCACGGGTCGCGATTTTATCATAATAATGAATTGTTTATTTATAAATAAAAGTTATTTATTAACATAAGAGAGAAAAGAGAGAAAAAAAGTCGAAAACGAGCGAGAAGAGAGAAAAGAAATTTCCTTCTCGCGGGTACGACAGACGGCGGTGTAGTTTTTCCGTAATCCGTTTTCCGTTTCTCGCGCGCGCGCCGCTGCTCAAGTCTATAGTATTAGTCTCTTCTACTCTTGTATTGCCGGCCCGTCCGTAAAAGCCGTCTCCGATTCTGCCGTCGTCTTCTCCGTTCTGAGTCTTCCTCGCACACTATCTCGAAACGACGACTACCTGAAGGCTGCTTACCCACCCACTGGCTGCTGTGGTCGTTTAAACTTTTTCGTTTGTGACACACAGGTGTTCCCAACTCCTAAGGTGAGTGCGAGTATAGTATATAATTACTATATTATTATGATAATATAGCTCGTCACCGCTCGCAAAATCTCCGTCTCAATGCCACAAAATATAACAATATAATATTATTATATCCGAGTACCTACCATAAACGTGAAAATGCCCGTTGTAATTCACCAGCTGCCTGCCTATAATAGCAGTCCCCCACTAATGGCACTAATGTTTAATAACAACACCGACGACCATATAGCATACAGCATGTTGTCGTTATTATTATCGCGTGCGTTTGTTTGTTTTGTTTGTTCGGCGATCTGTCCGTTCGCGTCTGGCGGATCTGCAGGTTCAAATAATGGCCGATCAGAGGTTCTGTTTGCGGTGGAACAACCACCAGCCTAACCTGGTGAACGTCATGACGGGCCTGTTGAACAGTGAGATGTTTGTGGACGCCACCATTGCCGCTGAAGGCCGGAAAATACAAGTGCACAAAGTTGTATTGTCTGCATGCAGCAGTTATTTTCAAGTAAGTTCCAAAATCCCTGAAATTAAAATCCCACCCATCACTGGTGGACTATCTATATAGGGAGTCGTTTCCTTTTTCTCACTAATGATAACATCTAAACTTTTGATCGGATATAGTCCTCCCCAGGGGTCTGTCGCCTGTCGTTGTGTAATGTGTTAATATTAAATGTATGTTATCAATGACCGACATTTGTGTTGCGTACTTGCGTCGGGCAACCTGCCTATGACGTCTTATAGTATTATGCTAAATAGAATCGTTATTAATTATGTATAAGTTATTGGTTCTTCTTCAGGTCAAACAAACCAATACTATGGTATAAGAGCTTTTGGTATTTACTAGAATGCGGCTCAATCACTATAATAATTGAATTAAATTGTCAATTAATAACATAATTTAATATTACTCTTAACAGATAGTAACAAAAATATATAAGAATCTCTACTAATGATTGATTAATTAATTAATGACACTAGTGAGATAAACCATTGGGTAAGTTTTAAACTTTCATGCAGCAATTAATCTTTGATACAATAATATCACTTTTATAACAATGTACCTATAGTAGTTGATACATTGGCAAATATAATGTCTTAATAATATATCTAATTAAAATATGATTTAATTATTATATTCTTATATTTCGAATTATATTTATTATTAATCATATTAAATTATTCTAATAACTAAAGCATTGATATAATATTATCTTGTACCTATAAACAAATAAAACATACTCTCAAGAGATAAATTTTTAATGAAAAAAAACAACTGATAAGAAATTCTATTCAAACATAATAGGTACATATACCAAAATATAATAAAAATAATATTACCTATATGGCCCTATATGTATATATTTAATATACTATAATATATATATTTATATTATATAATATTGTTATTTCAATGATAACTACTTTTTATTACTATCAGCTAGGTACTGTGTTAAGATTATCTAAATGGTAATTAATCACATATACCAACAGTTATACATTATAGTATTCGACTTTATCTTTACCTATTATATACCTTTACCTAATATATACGGGGTGATTCAAAATTTATGTTACAATAATAGGTGTAGTCATAGTACATTACTGTAACATAAATCTTGAATCACCCTGTATATTTTTTTTGGAGATGTTATAGATTTATTATTAATTGAGTATTCTCTAAGATGTTTTCATGATATTTTTTATCTCTGACCAACATTTCATACAAATACCTGTATTTAGACTTCTCATTGTCGTTTTGTATCCAAATTACTCAAAGTAGGTAAACATAAGAGTATAAGACATTATAATATTTACTATGATATTAATATATAGTTACTCTATGTGGAGGGGATGGGTAAAGGATGTAGAGTTATTAGTAAAAAAAAATATATTAAAGGAACTATTTGTATTCACTTTTTATCAATTTAAACTGGTTGTAAGTAGAGGTCAGATTTTATTGTAATTACATATTTTTACCTAGTTGTAATATTAATATCTAGTTAGATAATATATCAGTATGTTATATTATGTTTCACAAATTTCTAAGTAAATTGGGGCTAATATAGTTTTTTTTTATTTTTACATTTTGAAATACATGGGTACCTATTAATATTCATATTTTATAAATATTTGGTAAAATTTTTCAATGTGACATGTTTCTAAATTTTGTTTTATTCAATTTTTTGTTTTTCTCACTGTCACGTATCACTTTTCTTTTTTTTAATTCATACATTAAAACTCTGCCAATATCAAAATTAGTTTATTTAAACATTTTTTTGAAATTTTCCAAGTTAAAAGTGCAGATACCTATGATAACTTATATCATACCGTATCATACCTAGCCGAATACTTAAATATAATATATACGAATGAAACATTTTAAAATGATGGAAAATTTAGGTTTACCTATATTGCAAATGTTGCAAACATTTTATCAATTAGGTCTATGCTTTTTAAGTCAAAATATTTCTACTACCAAACATAGAAAAAAGAGGTGGATGATAAATACGTGTATATATAAATGAATGTTAGTGTGTGAGTGAGTGTCCTGTATGCATTCCTAAATGGCTAGACCGATTGCGATGAAATTTGGTACATAGATAGTTAGACCTCTGGGAAAAAGATAGGTTAATTTAAAAAGGTAAATTCCAACCCGGGGTGGTACCTTAAACAGGAATTATGAGATTTACAATGGAAATTGTTGCTTGTATGTGGTTGCTATTGATTTTAATAATAATAAATATTATTTAAGCGATAAGCCTATTAGTGCTAGCTGTGGCACTTCTATGTATTTTAGTACAGAATGTTTCAAGTTCGAACCTCGGTTTCTATTGACCAATTTTTTGCATTGTTTCTATATTGGTTTTTTCTTTTTTATCTATACATACGAATATTTGGCTTTTTTTATTCATCGGATTTACGTACGGTTAGGTTAGAATTTTGTATTAATTGATTTTATTAATCTTCCATAGGTTGAATTATGTAAAAACAACAAACTTGGTATAACTTTGATACTTAAAAGTTCAATTATACACTTAAGTACAAACCACACAGGGTCTACCTGATAATATATGAATCTCATAGACAACACCGGTCGGGATGGCTATAAATTAAAATATAATATAATTTACACTTATAAAGATATTCCTTCCACAGCGTTTTACAACCAAAAAGAGTTGAACGATCACCAAAACCTAGCAGTAGCAAAGCATTGCTGTGTCAGCTAGTACCTATATATTATAATACCTAACATAATTATTGGTTAATTGTTTCTGAAATGTTAAGTAAAAGTCTAAAATTCATTCCTCTTAAATTGTCAGGAGATACATTAATGCAATCATAAAACTAACGATTCAATAAATCTAGTATGGCTCGAAGTTGTACACCATGAAAATGTATTATTATTTTTGTTCTGAATTAATAACAACAAATATTTGAATGCATACCTTTATTATTTTTATTTTTTTTATTACAATACAATCTATTTCATAGTTATAAGTTATAAGTTTATAACTTAAAATATAAATTGTATATAAGATGAAGGGTGTTATATTAATACTTGGCAAATGTTATTAAAAGTTATGCTTTGGACAGTTTGGTTACAAAAAAAAAAAATACGAAGTTTTTTCCTACAGTAAATGTGTGAACAATTTTAAAATGGATTCAAAATATGACTATTCCTACTAAAGGACGTATTTCATTCATAACTTATACTGACAGATTTAATTAGACAATAAAGATTCCTAGTATTGTCTTCTTTAGATCCTACTAAACACTTTTAACAAACAAAATATATTCAACAGTGAATTACTTTTTCCTTCTTCGGATAAATAAACGTATATAGTTGTTCGTAGGATCCAAAATAAATATATATTTCAATCTGTTTTCAATATCAAAATCTCTTCATTTGACCTATTAGTTCAATAGCATAAATATTTATTAATTTATCCTAATTATTATTACCTATACAGAACTACTTTCAAATCCATTTAAACATAAGCTATCATTTTTATCTGAACTTGTGTTATAAAAATAACTTCATTAAATTTTTAAATTAAATGTATATTTATTGTTATAGATGCTTTTCAATGAAACACCTTGTCAACACCCAATAATCATCATCAAGGACATGTCTTATAATCATTTAAAAACATTAATTGAGTTTATGTACTATGGTGAAGTTAACATCTCTCAAGATCAACTCCCAATAATTTTAAAAGTAAATTTTATTTTATTTATTCAATTGTATTCAATTGTATTATTTAAATACTAATCCTTATAACACTTTAAGGCAGCTGAAAGCTTACAAATAAAAGGGTTGACAGAGAAAACTATGTTTCCGTTTGCTACAACACGACACGCAGAAACTGAATATAGTTTGTTGTCACCTTCAGCAAAACGAAAAAAAATGCATCTCATGAAGACATCCAGTGATAAATCTGAACACAACAGTTCTATCGAAGATATATCAGTAACCGAACAAGATAATATGTCAAATGTACGAATTAATTAATATACAAATTAATAGATTTTTCGAACACACATTCACATGTATTTTTTATTAATTTGCTTATAGAGATCTCAACCTACATCACAAGGACAAGAAACATCAAAACCTATTAGTAGTGTAAGCAAACAATCGTCTACAGATAATCATACAACAATCGTTCACCACAAACCTGAAGGTATGATTAATCATAATTAATAAAATTACTTTTGTAGTTTGGTACTTATTTACTGTTTATAAATTAGTTTAAGTTTAATACGCAATTTATTTTTGTAAGTTTTGATTCTGTTTTGTATTTAGTTCAAAATTTTAATGAAAGCATTATTTATATCTTAAAAATTAATGTACATAAAAAAGCATGTTCTTTTTCATTTATTATACAGTTTTGTAGGATAATGATTATTTTTGCTAAGCGAATCCAAAATATGAGTAACTATTTAGATGAGTGATAGTTTCAACAAAACGTTCAACCGGTAAAATGCTCACTTTCAAGAAGTTGGCTTAATTGCATAATTAAATATGTCTTTAAATGTATTTCTTCTTGAAAAGTTTAATTTTTGTGTCTTTTCTTTGTATCTTTCCATTTTAATATTCTATTTACAAGAAATTTTTATTACAAATTTACAACCATTTGCCTAACAGGTTGGTCGTTTTTGGAGCAGCTCTCTGATTGCCCGCTCACAGTGTCCTACGACCATACCCAAGCCAAAGCAGTATCCAAACCAGAGAATAAGTACGCAAAAAACGAGAACCCGGTATTACGGGAGAGTGAGAGTTTTTAAGCAGCTCTTGAAGCCGTTCGTGTGCGGCCGTATGGCGATGTTGTCGTTGCTGCTCAAGAGTATGGGATAAATAACCGTACCCCTTTGTGGCCTCGAGTACCAAAAAAAAAGGGTTATCCTGTTCATCGAAAAGGTCAGTCTTCCTCGTCTATTCCAGTACCCTCGCCAGCATCATCAATCAATGGTCAATCATCCGAGCAAGTGTATCAAGCTCCACTATATGAACCTTCAACATCTCAAACGTCGGCAGTTGATCAGCCTGCTTATGGTTCAAAATGTATTCGCAACCTCTGACAGTGATTAACCCATGCTATTATTCTTCACCCGCCCTTCACTATTTTCAACGGACAACCATACATAAATTATTGATTTATTTATTTATTAACAAATCATTCTTTTATTTTGTTTCCTTTTATTTTAGTTAATAATTTCACTCATGCTGGTTTGCACAAATAGTTTATAATAATAATTTGACGATTTCTTAAATATTTGATGACATATCCATCACAGTTCATTTTTTTTATATTTAAATGATTGTTAAGTATTTAATGACTCGTTAAACCTCTTTAAAACAGATGATGTGCAATCTGGTGTATCTTAAATTATTTATTTGTATAGAAATTAAGATTATAATATTATTAATCTATTATTAGGTTTAATTTGATTTGTATAACAAAACTATTTTTAAATGTAATGTATATCGAAATATAACTATTGTATTTTGTATTTTTGTTGTGTTTATTTACCTTGAATTTAATAAACAATGATAATAATAAATACAATTAAAAGTGCTATCTCTCAAATATTAAAAAAAGATTTTTAATTTTCCAGTTAATAAACGAATTAGGACTCGAGTTACGTCAACCCATATAAAAATCAATGATAATGACATGAGTACAGATACTTCAATGGTAATAAACGAAACAAATGATGAATCTGAACCTGTAATCCGAGTGCTCGAGAGGCAGTGTTCAGAGCCAAATCCATCATCGACCAACACACTAGCTGTTCCTAAACCAACCATAGTCAAACAAATTTCTCAGCCATCCGAACCTAGTCCAACAGCCAGAGGGTTCTTCAATGACGAACTGCCCACTAGTGCATCACAGGTAATCTATACATTTTAATTACAAATATTTTTGGCACTCGTATTAGCATAATATTGTGATCGCAAAGACAGTTATTGAGTATTGTCAATATTTAACTGCATTATAGGTAAACACAAACGATTCTTATAATGGTTCAACACGATCTGACCACTGCCCGTTGTTACGTTCGGGACCGGCACTTGGATGCAGTTTCTGTTGGAACACAATAGATACCCGTGGAAGGTTCTTGAGACGCAAAACCAAATATCACTGCCCTGAATGCAATATAAACCTTTGCCTGGTTCCTTGTTTTCAGGTGATTATTTATTAAGTTTGATACAATTATCATCTATATATCTTTACTATTACTCAACATCTTCTGAGGTTGCCACACTTGCATGTGTTATTTTCGTCTTACAAACGTATAACATAGCAAATTTTATGTTAACAATAAACCATTTTACTCTGCTATTTTTAAAATTGGAGTGAATTGACACATTGTACGATTGATTGGTAAGGTTATTATCTTGTGTATCTCAAAGGATGGTATTGATACTTTATGTAAGATACAATGAACAAAAAATGTATAGTTTCAAAAAGGTCATAACTAGCTTCTTAATCCTAGAGCACATGCTTCGCGGTCAAAAAGACCAGGCTTTTAGAGTTTTGTTCATTGTTCAAAAATACTATATATTAACCTCATCCATCTAGGTCCTTCTAATTAGGCTATAAACTAAAATTAGATACAACTCCCAACTGTATATGATCTGATGTCAGTTATATAGAAGTGTTAAAAGTTCATTACCAGACATTACCTATTAATATACGGTCAAAAAGACCGTGTGCGTGATCGTAAAAAATATGTTTCTAATAATTGCTGCTCTATAACGAAATTGATATTATGATATTTTCATTGTGACTGGTGATATTATTGCATGTTGACTCTGTGTATGCCATACTGTGTGTAACTATAAAGACGTGTGCGTGTATTCTTATGTATATTTTAAATTCGTGTGATCTAGGGTTAATAAATATATCAATAAAAGCCTCTGAGATGCCCCAGATAATAATCTTACCTTTAAATTTTATAACAGGACAATTCCTATAATTTTAGAATTTGCAGAGTAAAATATATTATTGTGAATATAAAATTGTCCATAAATGTTTGTAAGACGAAAATAAAACATGCGTGTGTGGCAAGGGGCCGTTACAGTTACATTTGTTTTCTCTGTCTTACAATTGCGTAACATGGCAAATTGTACACTCAGCAAAACACGTTTATCTCCTTTAAGTTTAAAAATTAGAGCGGATTGACCTCTTATAAAATTTGAAGTTAAGATTATTATCTAGACAATGACATAGGCTTTTTATTATATTTTAATTTTAAAGCGAGTTATAAGTATTTTAAGATGTTCAAACAGTTGACGATTTTAAAATACACATAACTCGCTTTAAAATTAAATTATAATAAAAAATATATGTCATTGTCTAGATAATAATCTTACCTTTAAATTGTATAAGAGGTCAATTCGCTCTAATTTTTAAACTAACGGGAGATAAACGTATTTTGCTGAGCGTAAAATTTGCTATGTTACTCACTTGTGAGACGGAGACAACAAATGTCACTGTAACGTCCCCTTAATGAGAAAATATAAATATTTAAAGGTTAATAGTAAAGAAATATGGTTTTATTCTCTTATTCTTTGTAGTCAGGGATAGCATTGGCAAATTTGAAATTTAAATTGCTCAGTTCATTACTATTGTATAACAAATAGTCCAATTGTTTATTTGTCATTATTTACTTTTTAGTAAGTAATCCATAATGTCTTTTCTCAAATACTTCTTACGACATGAGAAGTATTTGATTATTTGAATTTCTCTACATTATTGACTATTTATAAAATATTATAATCTCAACACTTTTTTCAAGTTTTTCATAACATTTATTTTTTTATTATTCAGGAGTTTCACGAAAAACAAATTCAGGCAAAATCCACTGATGTTCCTACAACAGATCATCCTCGAACTCAAAAGGTGACCGACGACACAGCAGTATAATTTTTTCCCGTGATATCATTTGTTATAACTTAAAATAATTAACAAAGCGTTACCATTTGTTACTACTTAAGAATTTGTTCTGATTTTATTTTAGTATAGAACAAAATAATAATTAGTTACATATTATTATAAATATAAAAATATTTTTTTTATGTGTTCAAGATTATTTTTAAAAATTGAAAAATATATGTGAAAATAAATAACACCATTGTCGTTAATAATGTTCACCACAATTTGTATTGATTATCTTTACTTTGTTTGCTATTTGAAGCACTGTTTCATGGGAATTACATGAGATCGGACCACCATTAGTTGCCATTACATAGTTTTAATTATTTAATATATTTATCAAATACAAATTAGTCATATTTATTTTAGTAGTCAAGTGTTTTTCACATTGTTGGTAAGTGTATACATTTTCTAAAATATTACTTTTACCTATATCATGTAAATATGTAATCAGAATAAGAGAATAAAATTGCATTGTCACTGACTGCAATGCGCTTACATTCACACTTCTATCTACCAGTAACCATTAATAGGCTCCAACAACATAAAGTTGTGTGTGAACGGTTATTGTTCAGCATGTTTTGCTGGATAACATTTTTTTTTTAAATTGTTTATTTGATTGTTTCTATACCAAAGAAAGTTGAATTCTCTTAATGAAAAAAAAAAAAAAACAATAATAATGACAATATCAATAATTTTTTTTTTTTTTGATAAGAATCAGTTCAGTTATTTAAATTTTTAAACAATTATTAATACTGACTCTTAAGTATTAAAGTATGTAACGTCTGAACACTGAGAGCCGATTTCATCAACGCAGTTATTCACGGTTAACGCTTAATCGGCTGACAAAAGATATTTAACCGGCCAAGTTTGTGGAACTGTAGTATTGAATGCACATGCCATAACATAAAACAGGCTAGTATTGGATTGTATATTTGTATGAGTATTATTTATGAGTTCAATAATTTTTGTAACTGTTTTCAAGTCTCATAATACTACCAAGTTGTGTACATACCCTTAAAAATTTCCTAATTCAAACTTTACAACAGTGGAAAAATACTTTTTTAAGTAACACAAAATCAGCAACTTTTTATGAAATACATAATATGATGTTAATAAAAACAACCCTCCAAATATTTATCTCAATGTCAATTTTTACATATATGAGAGTTCATTTAATTTAAGATTTTAGCCTTTTAGGAATTTATTTTCAACGTTATTTTGGTTTTAAAATTAACTATGAAATAGTTCTCAACAAATCATATAAGATTTTAGGTTTCTTAAAAAGAATTTAGAAATCATCTATGGTTAAAAAATTTTAAACCTTGTAAGGTAGGTCAAATATTGAATTTGGCTCAATTGTTAATTTTCATAATCTCTTTACTTATTATTTAGAATTTTAAGTTTAAAGTAAAATTTTTAAAAAGTTTAACCTTTAATTAAATTTCCCTTCCTTTGCTCAATTAACCTATTACCAAAATCCTTAGCTCTTGATAGTCTATTCTTAAGACAGAACTTCGAAAAAAATCTATATATGATTTCTTCCCAGAGCTCTTCAATGAGCCAATAAAATCTCTTACACACAAGAATTTTTTGATTCTACGCTCCATAACTTGAAAATGAATACTTTATTATTACTAATAAAGTCCAATTAGTGTTAGTTGTCTATATTTAATTATTATACATTCTATAGTTAATTGAAGTTTTGAATTATTATCGTTTAATTTTAATTTTTTAGCCTAAACTAAATTGTAAAATATTATCGAAATATCATGTAATTATTACTTATATATTATGTAGTTTAGCTGTTCTCATAATTTTCTTTGAACAATTTCATTTTGTTAAGAGCTATGCCCGTTAATCAAACATAGGTAAATAACTATGTCAACATCAACATAATATTATGTTCAGTATAATGTTAAGGATTTAAGGAATTGTGTAAAATAAACAACATTTTAAATAAAAAAATTAAAAACTTATTTTGTTTTAGTTCAAATATACAAAGTATATTTAAAATAAATGAAATAATAGATGGGAATTAACGGTTAGACTTGGCCACACGTTCGAGTTCGTCTTTCTTCTTGATAGCATAAGAATTTGATGATCCCTATAAAAACAAAAATAATCCAATCACTTAATATTATATTATTCAACCAATTAAATTCAACAAGATATATTTGTAACTGACCTTGGCAGCATTGATCAATTCATCAGCTAAACATTCAGCAATTGTCTTGATATTTCTAAACGCAGCTTCTCGGGAACCCGTACACAACAACCAAATGGCTTGGTTAACACGTCTCAATGGGGAAACGTCAACAGCTTGACGCCTGACTGTACCAGCCCTACCAATACGTGTGGAGTCTTCTCTGGGTCCACTGTTGATGATGGCTTTGACAAGCACTTGCAATGGATTTTCACCAGATAACAGGTAGATAATTTCAAAAGCGTGTTTAACAATACGGACGGCCATCAGTTTTTTTCCATTATTACGTCCGTGCATCATCAAAGAGTTGGTCAAACGTTCAACGATAGGGCATTGAGCCTTACGGAAACGTTTAGCAGCATAACGACCAGCAGAGTGAGGAACATACTTGGCGTACTTTTCTTTGACAGCAATGTAATCCTACAAAATTCAAATGTTCCAATTACTGAACTGTCTAGTGTTAACTCAATTATAACTTAAGGGTATCAGTGCCGGTCATTAATTAAGGAGTAAAATTTAGGCAATTAATTCACATGTTGTATCGGCCTCGAGTGTAACGTGCATGTGTGCGAGAATGTAAATCGATATTAGTGTGAGTGAGGTATAATTACATGCGCCGATAAAGATATGTACGCACACGCATGTACAAGTCAGTGTTAGACTTTGTTGACTATTAATGAAGCACTATTTTGATGAACAAAAGTGGTTTCACAGGAAAAACTCTTATGCCTTGTAGATATGTCGGATTTTGGTAAATTTTTTTTTATCTGAAAGATAAGAAGTAACTGCAGGTCGGATCAAAGCTCGAATTTATATTTTACTTTAAATAGTAGTAGAAAATTACGTTTGAAAAAGTTCCAAATATTGTGCATTTTTCAAATGCATATTCCAAATTCTATAATTATAATTTTCAAAATCGGGCTTTGATCCAACCTGCAAAATGTTCTCTGCTTTTAGATAAAAAAAATATTAATGAAATCCGAAAATTCTACAGGACGTGAGAGTTTTTCCTGTAAGACATGTTTTTGTACCAAAAAACGAACCAGCTCCGTGAATGTGAACCGTACCAAAATAATAATAACATGTTACAATACTATTCATTAAAATGAAGTAGGTAGTTAAATTAAATTTGAATATAACATACTTGCAAAGACATATCAGAAACTTCAACATCATCACAACTCCATCTGCCAAATAACTTCACTTCTGGTAATTCAGCTGCAATTTGTGTTGGCGCTGAATCTACATTCATTGTAGCTCCAACATCTCCCCAATCTTCGTCAGCCATGATGTTTCTAAAAAATAAAATAATTTAGAATGCAAGAAAAGTCTTGACTAAGTGTCAAAGTAACAAAGTTATCCTATGTCCCTGAAAGTAAGGGGATATTTAGTTGACCAAAATTAAATAAGAACATTATTTTTACTAATCCCCATTTAAAAATGAAACGTGATAGTCACACAAGTCTTCAGCACAATAATGTTTATATCGTAGAAGATATACATCAGCATTAAATGCCAACACTAGATTAATGAAGCAACTACCTGAGTAGAATCTTGTCAGACAGAAATCGTAACAGAATGTAATTTCAAATGTTCAGCTGCACACGAATAATTAAAGCGTAAACAAGATTATTAAGCGAATACATATAATAAATGTGGAGGGAACGGCATTTCAGCAGTGTAGTGAAAAATCAAAAAATTACCTCCTAGAGGACAGTTGTTTGATGATGGGTGGAACGAAGCACCAAAGCACAGGATTTTAACGAGCAACAATACTAATATACAATATTAAGACAAAAAATGTTAGAGTTCTGAACTTCAGATTTACAAATTGTTTTGAGGTTAGCCATGTGTAATTCTTGTAGACTTTTTGACTTTGGCCGTAGTCACCAAACCAATATAAATGTAGGTGTGTGCGCCGGAGCCGACATCGATATTATTCAGAGAGTCTTATTTACGAAAAATTTCTTACCTGTGTTTTCCTTGCTGATGAAATTGAAAATTTTCCGAATCCGGAACGTCGGAACGGGGACGAGCTAAACAATAATTCCAAACGAAAGAGAGCGATCAGCAAGACGGCGACGGAACACGGCGACGAGGCGATATCGCGACGACGCCTTGTTGGCATCACTGCGAACGGATACACGGTGTTCGCAGTGCCGCCAACCTATCGACGATGGCCAAAGAAGTCTCAGATATTGTGCTGTTGTAATCTTGTACCAAGATAATATTATATTATCTACATCATGGTATTATCTTCTCTACTAGTCTACAGTCTAAACCACGATTTAAGTATTTGCATTTTACATATCCAATTTGCTCTACCCTCTACTACAACTCCATAGTCAAATACTCTACATCGTAATAACACGAAGAAGTTTAGAAGTTCGTGTAGTCTTGAAACAATTGTATTATTCTGAGGATGTAAGGCTGAGGCTAAAGTCGCCGATTGTTGAGAATCGTTTTTTTTATATATTATAAATTATTGGGTGAAATGAGCGATTGAACTAAAACCGTCCATTCGGCCAGTTACGAACGTGTTTCGATCATCGTGGTTCCGGTTTGTCGCATATACCTAAGGTATGATCAATAAATTCTTTATTCAAATAGTTGTAGTTTAAATTGTTTAAAGTTTAAACTGTATGACGTTAGCAGTCTTATCAATCCTTCCCGAAATCCAAACTTTCCCTTTCCTAGTCCGTAATAGATATTATATTATTTATCTCGATAATAACAAAACACAAGCATAATTTCTAAATGTATGGATTCTGCACATCACGGCAGCTGTTGCAGATATTATATTGTCGTGTTCTTATTATTTCAGAATTCTTTGAAATACCAAAATTAAATATCTTTTGGCTTTTTTAAATTATTTTTTATATTTCTTTTTTCCGTAATAGGTAGCTTACAATCACACCATCAGCCATGGCTCTGGCAGAACCCAGAAAACGAAGGAAAAACCCCATGCACAGCATTAATTTGTCGGCCCAAAATCACTGGACAAATGGTAAATTTAATTAAACAATTTCCCTTTTCAGCGAGATTATTATAAATCGTACTTACCATTAGTACCAAACATCACATTTTCCCTTTAAATTTATTCTAAGATGGTTTGAACTTCTACATTTGCATCACCTACATAATAACACGCATGTTTTTTTTCAGATGATTCAAAATTTGGTCAGCGGATGCTTGAAAAATTTGGTTGGTCTAAAGGATCTGGTCTTGGAAAAAATAAACAAGGAATATCAGAAAACATAAGAGTTGATCATAAAGTGCACCCTACAGGTAATTAAAGATTTTATTTTCAGCTTATTTTTCCTCTAGAAATGTAGTAGTCTGGTCTCTAGTTGATTTAGTTATTAAAAATGTATTTACCATTATCTAAACTCTTAACTTAGTCTTCTTTGACGGTGTTGAACATTTTCAATTACCTATTACAGTTATAACGGTTCCCTAAAACAAAATTAAGTAAATCAATTTTAATATTAAGTTACATTAATTCTTAGTTAAAATATTTTTCCTTTTTCAAGGCTTATAATTTTGTTATGTTTTAGGTAATTTGTTTGAAAAAATATTTAAAAATCATTTTATCATTCATTAATGATCTTTTTTTTCTTAGGGCACTACACCAGTTAGAGTATTCCCTCCTAATTTATTATAAAAAAGATATCTATGAGGATATTTTTATGCCACTACATATACTGCTTATCAAAATGCCTCAAGATACAGATAATGTATTTTCTAAAAAAGAAAACTAAATTAATTTTTAATTTTAATTCTTTTGGGAAAAATTAACTATTTCATTTCTTAATGCAATTTATCAGTCTATAATTTAGTAAAATATTTAACAATAGGTTCCTATTCTAATAACATTATTTTTTCTAAATTGTTAAATGTACTCACGTAATTTTTAAATTTATTAAATTATATCTAGCAAATTGCTTGAGTTATTTTTCTAAATGTAGGTAGACTATTATCAAATATTGTATCTTTATTTTCCAGTTTTATGTACCTATAATTTGTATAATTTTATAGGGCTAGGATTTATAGCAAATAATGCAGATGATTGGTTCAAAGCAGGCGAAGAGTATTCACGTTTATTATCACAATTAACAGAAAAGTTTGACCAGTACCAAGAATTATCCGAATCAAATGGAGATACAACTTCTAAAAAATCACTTGTTCAAAATTCATTGAATTCAAAATCAAGAGTTCAGTATGTATTTAAGAACAAAAATGTTAATTAACACGTTCACCGCCTCTGCCGATCACGGGTCGATGTTGGTAGTATACCCATGATCGTCACTAGTGCATATTGAAAATTTGCTTAAAAATAATTCGGCTATAGAGGCACCGCTATATTATTTATCACGCCCATATAAAAAGCCAATTATTTGCAGTTGATTTCTGTTTCCTGCTTTTTTTCATTTACTTTTATTGTCCCGCGTATGTTATAAGCAGATACGCGGCTTGTGGCACCAAAATAGAAATTTATGTGTGGTGGTCAACGTGTTAAAGAATTATTTTTGATAGTTTCTATTAATTCCATTAATAATTTATTATGTTTTTCAGTTACCACAAATTCACCAAGGGAAAAGATTTAACACAATACAAAAGAGATGAACTGACATGTATACTAGGAAAAGGTGTTAAAGATAATGGTGAAATCTTAAATGGTTTAAACATGGAAGAATATTTTAAATCCAAAAAAGAGCGTTTAAAAATAAAAACAGATAAACATGATACATCAACAACTGTTGAATATGATTTGACTAATAATAATGACGATAATATTCAAGGAGGAATTACTGTTGACGAAGAAACGGAAGCCCAAATTAAAGAACATGAAATAAATACAACGCTACTGAAAAAAAAGAAACGTAGAGCAAAACAGCTGAAAGACACGGAAATTATAATGCCAATTTATGATGAAATTCATGTTGAGTTAAAGAAAAAGAAAAAAAAAATGAAAGAACTCATTTGTGAAAAAATTGATGACGTTGAATTGTCAAAAAAAAAAACTAAGAAAAATAAATTACCCAATAACGAGGATTTAGATGATAATATTATGTCAGAAGAAAATAACAACAAAACATTAGAAGATAATGTTGCCGATGAACAAGATTCGGAGTTAGTTTTGACCCATAAATATCAAAAATTGGTTGATCTCTTGATAGAGAACAGTTCTGCTGGTAATAAATATTGCAAAGATTCGACAATTCCTTTGTTCCAGGAGAAAATGAAAGAGTTTGCAGATAGTGTTACACACCAATGCTTGACCACAGTTGGTTCTACTGAAATAAAATCATCATCAAAAAAAGAAACAACTCTTAAACCAATAATTTTGAATCCGGATGACAAAAATTTCATTAAAGACTTTGAAGAACAGAAATCTCAAGCTCTTGAAATGATATCTAAACGTCAACAACTAGCTAAATATGTAAATGAGAAATCTATGTTTATTGCTAATCATGGAGATGTGTTATTCTTTGGTAGTAACATAAATGATATCAAAGGCTATGGTGAATGGTAAATTATATTATATAATAAATAAATGATATTCTTCAATATTTATTCTATAAATGGTTTCAGAAGTTATTACATATTAATATAAAATCAAAAATAATATCAATCTTTGTATCTATCTATCTTATAAATAATAAGTCTATAATTCTATCTTATAACATCTAATAATAGACAGTCATAAATTATTGAATATTTATTTAAAAATGATACAATTAACTCCTGTATTATGCAGAGCTAACTTGCTACGCAAAAGACCTATATGCACAGTGTTGAGTGCAGTATACCTACTAATTATGGTCGTATACTATGTTGTAGTGAAGTAATATAAAATTATATTTTTGTACACAATATGTATTTTGTATATTTATACCAAAACACCTAATGATGATTAGCCATATTAAGTTATAAGTTATATGGTATACCCTCTACTTTTTTATGACTACAGCACTGCCTATGCTTTACCAGTGACAGTTTAACCTTGTGGTTTTTCAATTGTCGGAGCTCTGCAGTGAAGCCTAAAAGCGCGAATTGAATGATTTTTTTAAGAAAATTCAATTTAATTATCTGGTATAATAAAAACCTATTGGCCATTATACTTAAGGGGGCTGCAGTCGATCGTGTTTTAAGGAAATTAATATAGGCAATTTAACATGATAGCATTAAACTGACTTGTAAGTGTGTGCAATGTAAACGAACCTTAGTGTGTGTAAGACTAATCTCTCTCAATATTTACCAGGAACCGACCCGCCGTCGACATCAAACATCATAAACAATTAAACGTAAACGACTAATTATGTGGGTCATAAAATATATTGTTGTCAAAAGTAGGTTATTTTAGTATTCTGTATTATAATAACTAAACCTATTTTTGTATACACAATTTTTTTACTCATTAATTACATAATCACTTTTTTTAACGTAAAAGGAATAACACAATCAATCGCATACACCGAAACACATGTATATTATAAAAAAGGTGAGGAAAGTGAGTGCTAGAGAGGATGAACCATTACAACTTGGTACTTACTACTTACGTACTGCTATTTATACATATTAATATTATGTATTTATGCTATAATAATTTATTAAAATATATACACATGTATAATTAGAACTCGGCGTTATTTCACTCACATAAATGTACATAGTATTGTAAGTTAGATATCTTGGAGAAAAAAATAATGCGATCCATAATCCATATAATATGAATATTAAGTCAAATTATTATGTTTTTATAGTTTATTTACAAACTTCTTCAGTAAAAAACGTAAGCGTAACTAAGGTTAGTCACGTAAACGACGGTTTCTATCAGCTCTTGAGTCTATTAACTCGGGCAACATCGCTTGGAAATAAAAATTTTCTAGCAATGTTTTCATTTTGGTTTCGAAAAAAATCATCATCTCTTAAAATTTTTTGGTATAATATACCTGTAAACATACGTACGTGGAAATCAATTTACGATAGTTATTAGTATTACCAATATTTATTTGTAATTTAAGCATTATAATTACCTTTAGGTGACCATATTATAAAATAACAAAACAATCTTTGAGTTATTTGTAATTGACCCATAACTTGAAAATAGTATTTGTCACTTTTTTTTAACTGTAGATTTCCTTGATTGTCAATAGTTGCAAATTTTAATTTTCCAGTTTCTATAGCTTCTTTTGGAGTTAATTGTTTAATTGTAGATGGACATTTTATTTCAACTATACCGTTATCATCTAATAGTCCATCCGGACTGGCTGCTAAAAACGGTAGTTGTTCATAAATGAAAAGGCCAGATTCTTGAATTTTAAGCCCTGTTAGTTTTTGAAACTCTGTCTTCGCAAAGGGTTCGCACTCAATACCATATCTTGTATGCTCATTTCCGCAAAATGTTTTATACAACATTGACTTAATTGTATTAGCTCTAGACGTCGCCGGTCGAAGTTTACAAATGGTTCCAAAGTTTAACGCGGTTAAACGAATTCGTCTTTCTTTATGCCATAATTCACATTCTGATTGAAGTTTAGTGGATTTTTCAATTAATTTGATTTCATTACTATTTTTTATTATTTTATTCGTCATAAATTCTAATTTAAGTTTTTCGTAATCATTTTCATCCATATATAATTCTTTAAAAATATCTTCTTCACAATTGCCATAGTCTTTATCTGCAGGTAAGCTAACTTTAGTAACTCGTATACTACTTGGTTCATATGTAAGTTTTCTGTTTATTTTACATATTTTCGTCGTCTGTTTTCTATTTATAAAACGTTTGGTAAAAACACCAGGACTTTTATTGCAAATTTTTTTGTTTAAAACACTTAAAGATGTTGCCCCTGCATTATATGACAACACTGCCGCGGTACACCTCGCTTGATATGACCCTTTATGAGAAAAGTTTATTCTCTTTCCACCTACATATTTAGCAACAACGCTATTATAACCTTCGACCGAATTATTGTTTACATTATAAATCAAACTTGAGGAACGATGAGCTAATAGATTTCTTGCTGACAAAATATCAGCCCAAAGTCCACTTTGTTCCATATCTGGAACATGGTTTATATTTGTTTTTTCATTTTTTTTTTTACAAAAATATGCAGCACAATTTACATGATTTCCAAAAACATGGTATGGTCCATTCATAATATCATATTTTAATAAATTAACTTTTTCATTATGTGTTTCATTACTTTCTTTCCTATATTCTATTGCTTTAGTAACTGCACAATGGAGCTTTTGTAAATTGTTTCGCAAAATATTCCTCTGGTCTCCGGGCACAATTTGTCCACTGCTACATTTCCTTTTTCCCGCAATATCACGCATACGATTTATATAATTGCATAAGACATGGTTTTTACATTCAATTTTTTGAATTATCATATCCGGACCATAAGGTTTAGCGACTTGTAATTTTTTACTAACACTGCTATCACCATCACCAATTAATTTATAATATATAATATTATTCATTGCTAAACTTTCTTTGAACCCTTCAACTATAATATCTGACTCCATAGAAGTAGAAGTAGAAGTCCAATTTTTGTAGCATTTGTGCTCACGAACTATTTGTTTTGTGTTTGAGGCTCTTTCACATATGACACAGTACTTATTACGAACAATATAAATAAAAATTTTTTCGTTCTATACCCAATAATTGACGCTACACCCGATGAAGCATTGTAATTTGTTTTATACGATCTTTTTGACCAAGCTCCATCTGCAACAACAGTCACTAATGCACTTATGCACGACCTTGGTCCTTGGTCATCCACTTCCCCATTTTGTATAGCAAGTTTTGCCTCTTCAATTCCAGCTAGTCTAATTTCATCTAACGAAGCATCAAATAAATGACTATACAATTACTCGTGATATTTTTGATATGAACTATTAGCATAACAAGGCATATCTAGTACGGCCGTAAATTCATCCAATTGCGAATATCCCTGTCTAGTATTAATGACGGCTGAAGTAATTGCCATATTGATATCAAAATCTTTCCTATCAGGATCTTCCGAATAAATATTTTCAAAAACTCCACATATTAAGCATTTAAAAACAAAATTGCTAGAAAATCCATTTCTTTTTTCATTTACTAACGTCATATTTTCTGAGAATGAACATTCGAAACCCTTATGTTTAATACGTCGAATGGATTTAAAAAAGTATGCAATATTAACGATTCGTCTACCACTTACTAAGTACCTAAAATAAAAACAAAAAAAAGGTGGGCAAGTGGGTGTCGCTCTGCTGTACAGTAGGTTACAAGTGGGTCATTGTATAATGGATGGTATTAAATTTGAATTCAATGATATAATATCATTGTATAAGAAAAACGATTCTGAGCGGAGACGGTATGTCGGTATAAGACATATTATATACATATCTATGGTATTAAAAAAAATTGACCTATAATGAATTCCAAATTAATCATATCACAATATCCATTAGGTACTTATAACGCGTTATACACCAACAACAAACCCTGATACTATCATAGATATATATAGTAGATTACTTTAGAAATTTCAAGTACCCACGAATAATATTATACAATAACAACAAAATAACTAAAATCGTAATTCTTGGTTTAAATATGAAATTTTGTCTAAATTTGAAATTAAAATGTCTGTAAAAAATAAGTGTGTTTATATATTTTTTAGATTTTTTGGTTACAGTATGAATTATTTAAGAGAATCTTTGTTTTAAATTTTCAACTCTTAGTTATAAAAACAGAACATTTTATAATTTTTTAATTCCAACGATTGATAATTTTCGGGATTTTGATAAATTTTGTCAAAATTCCAACTTTAAATGCTTATAAAAAAAAATCGTGGCTATGTATTTTTAAAATTTTTCAACTGATATTGTAACAAAATATAGAAAAGCTTGTATTAAATTTTCAGACTTTTTGGCCCACCAAATAAAATTTAATTGACAATTATAAAAAAAAAAACTAAAAAAATTGAAAACTGAAAATGTCCGTAAACAGCTCAAAAAGAGTCAAAATATTTTTAAAATTGTATGGTGTATAGGAAATGCTAATATAAACATTCAGTGAAATTTTCATGTATCTTCAGTTATTCGTTTTTGAATTACAACAAAATAAGGAAATCGCTACATGAGAAATCGAGTGAAAATCCAATGTTGTAAAAATTTGAATTTCAAACGCTCATAAAAATTTAATTTGACTGTCCGGTAGAGATTTTTTTATTGATAAAGGTAGATAATCTTATAAGGAATCTTGTGTTTCATTTTCAAATCTTAGATTTAAAAAGAAAAATTTTTACGAATTCTTAACTCAAAATAATTTGCTAATTTTCGTGATTTTTCCATATTTTGTCAATTTTTGAACTTTAAATGCTTATAAAAAAAAAATTGTGACTAAGGATTTTTAATATTTTTCATCTGCCTTTGAAACAACATATTAGGAGCCTTCTATTAAATTTTCAAGCTTTCGCAACCAACAAATAAAATTTTATTGATATTTTTAGAAAAAAAAACTAAAAAAAAATGGAA